CTGATTTCATTAAAAAATGTTGCATCAAATTCCACTGTATTTACTTGTTTTAGTTAACTCAGTCAAGGTATTAATTTAAAACCTTACATTTTCTATATGGGTAAACTTACTGAAGTATAAGAAAAAGGCTTTCAAGCTATGGCCACAATTACACCTAATTTCCAATTTCAGTCTGAAGCTTTCAGTTGACATGCACTTTTTAAAAACCTTTTGAGATATAAAGATGTTTCCTAGTGGTACCATTTGTAACTGGTTCTTAATTCTTTTTTTAATTCAAATTAAGTATCTTCAAGTTAATTCACATAGTATTTTTGTTAGAAACAGATTTTCACTTTGTGCAGTTGTCATCATAGTTAATTAGCTCTTGCCATGCCTGAATATTTAAAGAGATTGTAGAAATGATTTGTAATTATTCACTGAAGTACAGACATTTTTTTAAAAAATTAAAAGGTATTCAGCTATTGGAGAAGGGTATTTTAATACAATTTACCATTTAATATTTTTCTAGATAGCAGTTATTGAAAAGATAGCAGGTATATCTTATTTGTGGTTTTCCCATGGATCACTGTGGAAAAATAATACTAGACTAGCTAACAAAAGCATCCAATCTATAACCAATCTACATAACTTCATATCCGCAACTGCTTTTCCAAAACAATTATGAGTCCAATTATTCTGTAAACATATGTTTTTGTGGCTATTTTGTGACAAGGCTCATACTAAGGCATTCACTTATGTAAGTCAGGGCATAGGGCTGATTCAAAATGTGCTGCCTTAGGAAAAGAACATTATAATTTTTCTTTCATTACTAAAGCTTGACAATTCACTATTTCCTCAGTGCTACCATGTTTCCCTGAAAGTAAGACCTACCCTGAAAATAAGCCCTAGCTTTGGGCCGAGGTGCATGCTAAAAATCAACCGAGAATGAGGGTGGGGGTAGGTGGAGCTTACCATTGCAGCCAGGCCTCCCATAGATCGACACTTGCCGTGCAGCCCACTTCTTCTGTAGCCGACGGAGCAGCTTCATTCTTCAGCTGAGAATGAAGCTCCGGCCTACATTTCGAGTGTGGATTTAATCTGTAGCTCGGTTCTCAGCTGCAGAGGCCTTTCTGGAAAGGCCTTTGCATGTGAAAAGCAGTCCGGAGCTCCATTCTCAGCTGCAGAATGAAGCTGGCTGCAGAAGAAGTGGGCCGGCTGGGTGGGCTGTCAGGGCTGCCCCACAAAGTGAGTGGAAAAGACACCCCCCAAAACTAAGACATAGTCCCTCTTTTGGATATTTTTTTTTCAGGAAAATGGTACCTTATAGAAGATCATCCTCCCCCACTCAAGAGGGCAGAAGGCTTAGCAGAAATTGTTTGCAGAGCAGGCTACTTGGCACTCAACATTATGTCACAATAGGGTTTCACCTCCTCCCAAAATATACCATCTATGGGCCATTTCATGTTTAATAATAATAATAACAAAAAGAACAACAACAAAACAATTGAAATGAAAGAACTAGTAATAACAACAAAAATGGTAGAAAAAAGCAAGGAAGATCAAAAATTGGTCAGCACCAGGTGAAGATGGACTGCATGGGTTTTGGTTGAAACATCTAACTGTTATATACCCACTCATTGCCAAGCAGTTCAACAATATACTACAAGAAGGAGAAACTGAAAAGTGGCTAACAACTGTGAAAACCTATCTAATAATGAAAAATCCAGCAAAAGAGGCAACACCAGTCAACTACAGGCAAATGACCTGCTTACCAACAATTTTCAAATTGCTAGCTGGTATGGTAGCTTATGCAGTACAACAGCATCTAGTTGAAAACAATCTCTTTCCACCTGAGGAGAAAGGAAACCACCCCAACAGCAGAGGAACAAAAGATCAACTCCTAATAGACAAAATGATCTTGGAAAACTGCAAGAAAGGAAGACCATCCTGAATGTGGCATGGATTGACTACAAAAAGACATTTGACTCTCTGCCACATGACTGGATAATCAAGTGCCTAGAAATAACAGGAGTCAGTAGAAACATCAGAAAATTTGTGCAAAGATCGATGGCAAAATGGAAGACACAGTTGCAGGTCAATGCAAGGAGAGGTTAATATCAAGAGAGGAATATTTCAAGGAGATTCATTATCAACACTACTATTTGTTATTGCACTGTTTCCTCTGTCAACAATACTGAATAACTCAGGACATGGCTATCAAACATCAAAAACATCTGCCAGACTATCCCCCCTCCTTTACATGGATGATATGAAGCTGTATGGAAAAACATCATCTGAAATAGAATCGCTGCTCAACACTGTCTGTACATATAGCCAAGATATTGCAATGGAGTATGGCTTGGACAAATGTGCCACACTTACTATCAAACAAGGAAAAATAGTGAAAACTGAAGGGATCAAGATGTCCCACGAAAATAACATTAAGAATCTGGATGAGGAACATTACTACAGATACTTGGGTATTCTTCAAGCTGACAACATCAAGCACACTGAACTCAAGAAAAAGATTAGAAGTGAATACATCAATAGAGTGAAGAAGATCTTAAAGTCCAAACTCAATGGAGGAAATACCATGAAGGCAATCAACACCTGGGCAATTCCAGTCATTAAATACACAGCTGGAATAGTGGACTCGACTCAAGCAGAACTAAAAGCAATGGATAGGAAGACCAGAAAAATAATGACAATGAATCATGCCCTTTATCAGTGCAGTGACATTGACAGACTCTATCTACCAAGGCAAATAGGTGGGCATGGAATGCTGCAAGTACATCAGATGGTTGAAGAAGAAAAAATGGCTTTGGAAGAATATCTGAAGGACAATAATGAAGATGCACTGAAATTAGTATATCAGGAATAATAGCAGTATTACAGTATCTGAGGGGCTGCCACAATGCAGAAGAGGTCAGGTTGTTCACCAGAGCATCAGAGGGAAGGATGAGAAACAATGGTTGAAACTGATCAAGGAGAGAAGCAACCTGGAATTAAGGAGAAATTTCCTGACAGTGAGGACAATCAAGCAGTGGAACAGCTTACCCCAGAAATCGTGGACGCTCCATCACTGGAGATTTTTAAGTAAAGACTAGGCAATCACCTGTCCGAGATGGTGTAGGTTTTCCTGCTTGAGCAAGGGGCTGGACTAGAAGACTCCCAGACTCCCTTCCTATTCTACTCTATTCTACTCTACTCTATTCCTTGAATTCCCAAGTTTGTTCTATGGGGTCTAGCAATTCTTCAAGGCAAATTTTTGATTACACGCAAGTATGGTGGAGCGGTTATTATCACAAGAATGGGTCACTTAGCCATGAAAATAATATGATATAAAATAATAATAATAATATAATATGATATAATATAATATAATATAATATAATATAATATAATATAATAATAAAGTTGGAAGGGACCTTGGAGGTCATTGAGTCCAACCCCCTGCTCAGGCAGGAAACCCTACACCATTTCGGACAAATGGCTGTCCAGTCTCTTCTTGAAAACTTCCAGTGTTGGAGCATTCACCGCTTCTGGAGGCAGGTTGTTCCACTGGTTAATTGTCCTAACTGTCAGGAAGTTTCTTCTTAGTTCTAGTTTGCTTCTCTCCTTGATTAGTTTCTATCCTTGTCCTGCCTTCAGGCGTTTTGGAGAATAGCTTGACTCCCTCTTCTTTGTTGCAGCCCCTGAGATATTGGAACACTGCTATCATATGCCCCCGCGTCCTTTTCTTCATTAAACTAAACATACCCAATTCCAGCAACCGTTCCTTATATGTTTTAGCCTCCAGTCCCCTAATCATCTTTGTTGATCTTCTCTGTACTCTTTCTGTACTCTGTACTCTGTATTCTTATTCCAAACATGACTGTGGGGTTACTGGGCTATTATCAGGATAAAATAAGGGAAAATGCTAATCTAAGCCACCTGCAGCTTCAAGAGAAAATGTAATACTTAACAATAAATATAATTAAATAATATGATAAAGTGATTTGTTCCTACTTTGAGCTTCTTGAGGAAATCAGAATTCAGTGCTCAGCTAGTGAAAATTATCAGGATTTCATTCAGCTGTTCCCATCCCATGATGCCCATATTTTCAAGGGCACTTAATTACTTTTCTATTGTCTGTTATTCTAGAAGGGAAATCTGCTTTAAGGGATGTTTAACATAAAATTTGTGCTAATTGGTAGCTAAGGGTGCAGCAAGGTTCTGCATACATGAGAAGATAAGTTTCCAGAATGTTTCAGCCAGTACAGCCACATTATAACTGATTTATCCTTCCTCTAACTTTTTGATAGAACCATCAGAAGGAATACAGGACAAGAATATTTGTATGAAGGCAGTATTATATATTTCTTTAGACTTACTTGTATACCACTTATTCAAACTACTCAGGTGAATAGTACTTTCAAACACTCATAAAATCCATAGAATTACATTAACGAAAATATTTACAAGACAGTTTTATTCAGGTATTCATTTATTTAGTCAACTGTCAATATGTGCAAGTTATTGCCATTCAGTATAGCATATCGTATGTGAGATTCTGTTTCCTATTAGAAATAAGAATATTAGACATATCGTCAGTAGTTTAAACTGTGTTTCTTTTGTTGTGCACTAAAGTCAAGGAACATATGCACAATCGTATAGATTTTGTGACTGATAGTTGATTTTAGTATGGACTCACATTTGGCTTATGGTGTGGACTCACATTTGGCTTCCAACTCTGTTGATCTGTTATTTCTGTTAAAGGACTGCTGATCTGCACTTTAGGATTATGTGACACAAATTTGCAGATGCAAAGAAGAGGGGAACAAGAGTGGATATCTGCTGACATGATTTTAGATATGACCCATATTTATTTTTGCTGCTATGATTAGTAACAATTTGACTTGTTTATCAAGAAATGGATATCAGTCCTTTTCAAAAGAATCAGCCCTTATCAATAATGCTTTATCTATGAAGGAAAACCTGGTTTAATTCTGATATATTCATTTGGCTTGTTTTAATTACAGCTAGCTGCACTGGAGAGACAAATCTTTGACTTTCTGGGATTCCAGTGGGCTCCCATCCTTGGCAACTTCCTGAATATAATAGCTGTTATTTTGGGTTTGTTTGGAACCATCCAATACAGACCTCGGTATATAGTTCTGGTAAGTAATCTTTCACTTTATAAGTACGTTCACATTCTTTTTCCAATTGTTTTCTACATAAAAAGAATACCTTGTAAGCACGTGCGTAATGTTCAGCTTTTCAGTATGTTTGTTTTTTTATATCGTGGGTGTTCTTTTTTTAATATTTTATTGATTTTCTCATTTTACAATTGGGTATTTAACAAGCAATGTGATGATTGAGTTGATCAATAGTTCAATAGCATACATAAGTCTTTAGTATAAATCTCATATTACAACATCAAATATTTCCTCTCTTTTTCCATTAATATCTGCTATCTCATATTGGGCTAGTACAATTCTTATTATTATCAACTAAATAAAAACAACTTTGTTACAGTTATCAATACTTTTTAGCTTATTCATATCTTAATTGCATTTCCACTTAATCCTTGTATACAATCAATGTCCTATTATTGCTTTTTTCAGGCTTTAATTTCCCATCAATATTCAAATTTATTATTTATGATTTCCAAGTATTTTATATTTAGGTGACCAAAGTTTCCCTTATTTCAACTTCTCCCTTTTCGCATTTCATAGCAAAGTCTAATATTCTGGTTACACATTTTATCTATTTGATTATAGTATTGCTCTGTTTTCTAAAAATTATCTATTTCCCACCATGTTAAACCATCTAATTAATAATACAATATCCCCTCTAATAAGTCAAAACCATTATAGGTATTGTCTGGGTTAACCAATAGTTCAGTAATATACATAAATTTTAATTCAAGTCTAATATTAGAACATCGAATACTTCCTCTCTCTTTCCAATAATATCTATTATCTTATATTGGGAAAACAAAATTCTTATTTTCATCTAAATAGAAACATCTTTGTTACATTTATCAATAATTTTTAGCCTATACATATCTTAATTGCATTTGCACTTAATATCCTTATATAAACAATGTCCTTTTATTGCTTTTCCCCCAAACATTAATTTCCCATCAATATTCAAGAAAACACTATTATTTATGATTTCCAAGTACTTTATGTTTAGGTGACCAAAAGTTTCCCTTATCTCAACTTCTCCCTTTTTCCCTTTTCATACCAAAGTCTAATAGTCTAATTGCACATCTTCCATATTTAATTATAATGTTACTCTATTTTCTATAAGTTATCTATTTTCCACCATATTCAACCATCTAATTAATAATATAATATCCTCTCCAATAGGTCAAAGCCAGTATTTTCTTCAGGCTTACTCTGGCTTTCTTCCTTTGCCAGCTAACCTTTCATGTCAATGCCTTTGAATCATCAAATAGTTTTCCCTCTATTTATATATATATTATTTAGAATAAGAAAAACCATTTGGTTGAAGTTTTTTTGGAAGGACGAGCCCATTGGTATTCATTAAATCACCTCCCTATTCCTCCAATTTTCCATAATTGTCCTGATAGGTTTATCTTCCATTCAATCTGTTATTCTTCCTTTTCCTGAAATATATTCTGATTTTTTAATTTGTAAAAAGTTTTTTCCATTTTCAATGTTGTCATTCCCTTTTTTGATTTTTCAATTGGCTAGTCTCTTGGTCAGTTAGGTCCTCTGTCTTAGTGTTTAGTTGTTCCAATTTTCCTTTTGTTTTCTGTGTTGTTAGTTCTTTACTTGTAGTCAAGATCTGGGTTTGTATATTTAAGCTAGTATATTGTTTCCTTGTGTTTCTTCTTATTTTGTCACAAGCTGAAAGGATGGTTTCATGTATTGATTTCAATATGGAAAGGATTTTTTCCTGATCTTAATCCATATCCTCTTGATAGTATGTTAAGCTGAAGACTTTAGAATCAAACATTAAAAATATTTTTTTGTCTTTTGTAGCTGGGTATGGGACATCTATTTCATGTTTTATAGGTGGTCTTTATAGTAGAAATTGTTTATCAAGTAAGAGTATATAATCCAAGGTGTTCCATCATCTTGTGTAATAACATATGCTTCTCATGCAGGGAAATAGGAAAGCAATTCCCCAAGTATAGCTCTGAAAGTCAATAAAAGTTTACATTCATAGTTCAAGCAGGCCAGATAAGCCTCCCAAAAATCCCTTCTTTGCAGCTGGATTTTTCAAAGATGGTTACTGTCAAGGTCAAAAAAAAAATTATCTGAAGTCTGGACTTCAAGCCAAGTCTCTTTTAGCCAATAAAAATTGTAATACCATAATTCGCCACAAGATGTCACCAATGCCATTTTAAGCTTTTTAAATCAAAAAGTTATACGGTGGTTTTTCAAGTCTTATTTTTTTAAAAAAAACAAAAACCAAAAGTCTCCAATAAGAAAAAGAACTCTTTTAGTTCCTAAGTTTCAAAAGAATATACATCCAATTAGATTAAAAATAATCTTATAGTTGCTCTGTTTCTCCTGGGTAGTTAATCGCCGCTTTTTCCTCACAGGGGGAAAGATGTTTTGGGCAGCTTTTACAGAAAAGAAAACTTAGAACCTTAAAGAGAGGATCAGGTCTCACCCAGTTCATCCGTGTTGTTTGGAAGTTGCTTGGTGGTACTTTTGACTTCGGCTGTCAGCAGCTGGTTTGGAGGGCTTTCCCGGTTCAAACGGAAGGGCCACTGCCCTCGCGTGATCAAACGGGGATCCTTCCTTGGTCACTGCCTCTATGGGGCAACTTTCAACCCTTTCCAGGGTCTCCCAACAGAGAGAATTCATACTCGAAAGACGGAGCCCATCTTCCTGCGTCTGCAGCACTGTGATGCCAAGCCGGAAGTCATATCATGGGTGTTCTCATTTTTTTGTGATTAGTATTAAGATTTCTATCTAAATTGAAGGTGTATGTTTGTGAGTATGAGTGGAAGAAGTATATGGTCTTCAATATAAGGACAAGTGATTCTTCAATCACTTTAAAATCTTTCCAGCAATTTTATAAAAGATATGATAGTGTACTGCTGACAAATAAGACTCTTGTCGTATAATTTGCTTTCTTTGCTTTGTCATATCTTATTTCCTTCATGTTTTTAAATACATTTTACATCCAATTTTTCCATGCAGTTCACACTTATGTAACTCCCATGTGTTTATGGGAACCATCAGAAACTTCTTTGAATTGATGCAGACTAATAACTGACCCTGAAAACAATTGAAGATAGTGATTTAAAGAATAAATAACTGTAAAATGCCAAGAGGTTTTACTTCAGCTATGTGAAACAACATAATAATAGGCATAGTCTTTGTATAAGAACTGTAAATACACTGGGGATTTCTGCAACAGGAATCAGGAATTCTAAAAACCTTCACATTATGCTAAAGTTTAGCTGGTTGGAAAGGCTGAATATTTATGGTTTCTCTCTCTGGAAATGTCAGCATTTGGGAACTTTCTATAAGTTTATTAGTAATGGATTTTGAGGTGTAAAGACAGTCTCTTCTATTTTATTTCATTAGGAATTTCAGTTAAGGGATTTTTTAAAAATTGCTTTTAAAGTTTATATTAGTATTGATGTGAGACCTTTCATCTTTTATTATTTCTCAAACTACCATGCATTCTAACAGGCATAAAATAACAGTATTTTTTTATATTTGGGGTTTTATTTCAATGTGTTTCCTAAGTCTGTAAAAAGAAAACTTTTTATGAAAGTGATTAACTTTACATAACTGTATTTTCTTGATCTGTGGGATGTTTGAATTATCCATCAAAAACATTTCCATCTTTAAAATCTGTTTATTTTGTTTTCTCATTTTAGATCATTTAATGAATTGTTAAAAGAAGAAAGCAAATAAAATCATAATGTGAATATTAATAAACCAACTGTCAGAATCCAATTATATTTCATCTTTAGTTATCAAATATAGAAAACCCCAATTCTGCCTTCTCTGGATTCTGCCATAAGAGGGAGAGAAGGGGGAGAACAAAAGGGCTTTATGGCCCTCACTTCCTTCAGTATACTTCTAAGGAACTGAATGTGTGTATTGCAACTTCAAAGAGTTTGAATGGGGTTAGCACCAAAAGGCCTTATCATAACAAAGGAGGCTATTTACCTTTCATGTAGTTTTCTCTGAAGTCTCCATCCAGCCGGTAGAAAGGAAAAAGGGGTGGGATTGTGATGCCTGAAACTGTCACTGGAAGAGGGGGGTGATTGGGTGGGACTACTGGGGAACCCCTTAAAACCTCGAATGGGAGAGCTTGAACCCCAAGTCCTGTCTAGAACGTCTGCAACCATTTTCTCTTAATAAAGGATCCCTGTTGGAAGAATTATTCCAAGAGTTCTGTCTTCTTAAGATGCAAAGTGGGGTGGGTCCTTACATTAGACAGGACTTGGAAAATTAATCCACCTGGAAGGGAGACCCTTGCCGGGGGATTTTGCAAAAATTTACCATGTCAGACAATGGTGCAAGAGAGGGGGAAAACTCCTGGAAAGAGAGCTGCTGACCAAATTGGAACCTTGCCAGATGTTGGGATCCGAGAGGTCAGATTCCTCAGGAGAAGAAGTGGTGGAGACACGGGACCACAAGCCTCACTGGTCAATGGGCGTTGGAAAGAAAAGTGAGTGGGGAAAGGAATCAAGAAAGGTGACCCTGAGACGGGGGACCAAGCAACCAGAATGGAAGCAGGAGATGGAGAAATCCCTGCACGCAAGTGAAGAGGGAGAAAGCTGGGCACCGTACTCAGACTGGATCCTAGATAAAGCTATTGACCTGATGAAGAGAACTCTCAGCTCCCTAGGAGAGGAGAATCCTGAGCCCTACGGCCGCCCCAGCTCCTGGAGCCGCAAAGGGAGAGACACTGAGGGGGAAGTGGAACCTGCAACCCCGGGGACATCTGCTGATCCAGTAGTCCCCACCCCCTACCGGACCACAGATGGCAATCTGGACAGAAGACACTACCACCAACAATGGAGGCACCGATCCATTCCAAGACGTCCGCCTTTGGAGGTGAAATTCAAAGGGGAGCCAACACGCTTGGGGTTTTTCCTAACCCAAGTCCTCAGCTACATGGAGGAATACGGGCAGGAAATTCCCAGCGACAAAGCCCGCATCCGGATTGT